CCCCAAAACCCCAAAACCCCAAAACCCCAAAACCCCAAAACCCCATCACTGATTGGATAAATTGTTTGTACAAGTGGCCCAAATAATTAGATCTCAGACAAATAAATTAATATGGAAGCATCTAATCCAAACTTGAAAGAGGATTCCCTCGTGAATACTCTTAGAAAGCAACTGATGGAGTCAAAGAACGGTGGTAACCTAAATTACACTGAGAAAAGAATTCTTAAGGATCTTGAAGAGTTCCAATTCAATGTTAACCCTGAGATGGGAATCTCTGCTGTCCCTCTGAAAGATAATATCTACAAGTGGGTTGCAAATATCAAAGGAATTGCGGAAACTCCTTATGAAGGAGGTATCTTCCACTTTGAGATTACTATCCCAAATGATTACCCCAACAATCCCCCTCAAGTAGAGGCTTTAACTCCTATCACTAATAACTTCTTCTCTGGACGTAAGTATCGATCAGAAATGGTTGAGGGTGAATGGTGTTCAGGATACTCTCTCTTCTCTGTTCTCCTCCAGATTCAATTTGGGCTCTATGATTACATCGGCTCAAGTGCTCAGACCATCAGAACAGAAGCCCAGAACACTAAGACTTACAAGTGTCCTCTCAGTGAGCATAATGGAGAGAGCCACATTTACCCTCCATTTGAGTCTGCTTTGGAAGGTGGCCCAGTTGACTATGCCAAAAAGACTGAAGAAGAGAAACTTATTGAAGATACTTACTGTTTCCACACAAGAATGAATGTAAAAGAAACTATCCAAGGCACTGGAGTAGGATTCTCACGAACTATGAGGACCACTGAAGTATCTAGGATCTATACAACCATTGATTTTGTCTCCCAGAAGGCATATAAGGAAGGCCTAAGAAAAGGAGTTAATAAAAAGAAGTTCTCTCATTGGCTTCCTCTGTATTTTAAGGAGACCTGCAACGTAGATAAAACTATTGACTTGTTCAGAAAAGCTCTCTCTGATATCTCTGCAGGATCAAAGGATAAGTTCGAAGAAGAAATGATCTTACAGATCATGCCTAAACTATTACTGAGTCACTGTGTTCAGTCATTGACCGGAACATCTTACTCTTCAATTAAAGGATTAAGAATGTTGAATTGCTACCATAGAGCTTTCATCTTTGTTCTTGAGCACCACCCAGAAATGCAGTTTAAACTTGAGCAAACTATTGATAGCTTCATCAACAACGAAGAGTTTAGAGGAAAAGAAAACACTCCAGATCTTGGAATGATCCTGGCCATGATCTGTGTCTCAAAAAGATTCACTTTCAAAGATATCGCCAAGGTATACTTTGAAGAGAAGTTTACAAGATGTGTTTTCCACATCATTAAGGAAATTCCTGCTTATGAGACACTTAATGATGAAACATTTAACCAGGAATTTGCCCAAAATGTGTACTCAAAAACATCTAGCAGCTGGCAATTGATCATGTTCTTTGCTTACTATAACAACTTCATTATTGACAAGAACCAAGGAAAGAGAGAACTAAACCAAATAGTTGAGGAATACGATAAGAGATACTCAAGGCTGTACTACAAGATCGAGGAAGAGATCCAGAAAGAAGTAGACCTTATCAAATCAGTTGGAAATTTCAATGATTTCTTCCAAAAAGCTGGGCAAGATACCAAGACTAATAATGAGATTAAAGAGATGTTCATCAACTCGGTTGTCATTTCTAAGAACAAGGGATATCATGGAGGAGTTAATATCTATTTTCCACTTCCTGAAATCAAGGACCAAGTAAAGGAAGTTCTGAAGGAAAAGGTCACTCTTCTCACATTCTACAACCCATTTGATGAAGATACTAAGATGATGGATGATGAAGAAGATTTTCAAAAATATGTTAAAAAGAGATTCCCATGGACCAAGAGCTACCTCTCGATGTGAGATGAGACCGTCACTGCTGAGTATTTAGCCAATGAGAGTGATCTCAGAAATTCATCCAATAAATACAATCTTAATCTGAAGGGCGAGTTCCAGAACCTTCATGTAAAAGGGTTCTCAGAAGGTCTAAAAATTTCATCCACTAATTCTCCTTATAAAGGATACACTTGGAAAGATCTTTTCACGAAGTTAGACTTTGAGGAATTTATCTACTTCAATGAGTACCACCAAGATGAAGAAACACTTAAGACTTATCTAGAGATGGCTTGCCCAACAATTAAGGGACTTGTGCTAAAGCAGCCATCAAGAGTCTCTGATGATATTTCCTTTAGTGTTTATACGAAAATCATTTCAGCCTGTGCTGGAAGTCTTGAGAGACTTATTGTTGTAGGAGATACCCAAGCATTCCCATTATCTCAAGGATTATTTACTTGTATTAGACTTGGATTCAAATCTGCTGAATCAATCGCTTTGAAAGAATTAGAGGTTCATTATGTAAATTACTTAGATACTTATGGAGAACCAATGGCTGCTGATAGAATTGAAGCAATTAAGCTTATCCCACTGCTAAAGGTGATCCCAGATATTAATACATTGAGAATGACTAACATCAGCTTTTCAACAGAAAATTTGGATAAAATTTTCGAAGTCATTGCACCAGGAAACTTCAAGGAACTATCGTTCGTAAACTGTAACATTGATAAAAATGTTGGAAAGCATCTGGCAAATAAGAAGCTCATTGAAGCTTCCAATTTAGAGGTTTTGAACTTGAGCCATAACAAGCTAGAGCATGCTGCTGGGCAAGTATTAAGGAGACTAGCCGGAAAAGAGCACTTCAGAGTTCTTGATATGAGTTACAACTTCTTAACCCATGCTCAAGACACTGCTAAATTCTTCGAAGGGTTTATCCAAAAGACTCCAAGCTTGGAATATCTGAACTTTGCATTTACTAATCTTCACAACAAGATCTCTGAGACTGATATTGAAGCTATTGGAACTCTCCCTAAGCTGAGAGGAATCTCCTTTGAAGCAAGTACTTGTAAGATGAGCCAAGAACAACTCAAGGCAATGGGTAAGGCAATTGTTGCCTCCAAAAACAGTGAAGCTCCACTCGACTATGTGATCCTCAGAGGATGCCTTAATACTTATCTAGACTATGAAGAGTTCTTTGCCTCTTTCTCAGAGCTATCTCCTGCTAAAGAAGAGGAAGGCCTGGAAGGATTTGAGCTTGTTGATGACCCAATGGATTGCCAGCCTGCCGGCCAGATCAAATACTTAGACATTTCATTCGGTACCTTCACTTCTATGTTTGAGCAGAACCGTCTTAAAAAGGGAGAGTTCCCAGGCTTGAAGTATGTGTTTACTATTGTTGAATCCCTGAACATGGACTCATGTAAGCTTGATGAGAAAGATGCAAGAATGATTAAGTACTGCCTTAAAGAAGCAAAGGGTAAATCAACCTTGAAAGCACTTACCTTAAGCAACAACTATTTCGGAATCAAAGGTGCCAGAGCTATTGCTACTCTAGAAGTCCCTGAATTGGACCTTAGCAACTGTAAGCTTGGAGTTGGGGGAGCTTGTGCTTTCTCTAAGTTGCTCCCTGAAAACATAGTCATTAAGAAATTGAACCTCTACAATAATAAGATCAAGGTTGAAGGAGCTAAGTTCATTGCAAAGATTTTGGAAGAGAACAAGACTCTTGAGTTCCTTGATGTTGGGTCAAATCTCATTAGAAATAAGGGATTCGAGTCACTCAAAACATGTCTCACTGGAGGTCTCAAGGTCCTTGCTGCTAAGAATAACTGCATTAAAGAGAAAGGATTTAATGAATTCATGGATGCTTATCATGATAATGATGATTGCCAACTGAAAACTCTCTTGTTAGCCAGTAATGATGTAAATATGTACACTATCAAGCTAACAGAGGAAGATCTGGGTGATAAGCTATACATCGATTTAGGAATTAAGCTAGAGAATCATAATGAAAGAACCCTTTTCCTCTGTGGAGTCAATCCTAAGAACACAAAGCCTCTTCTTAAGAAGTACTTTGATAAGAAAGGATGTGGGGTAATTGAGCACATTGACATCATCCAAGGCAGAGAAAAGAAGAAAGGAAAGCTCAACATCTTTGGCTTTGTCAAATTTGCTCATAAAAACGGAAAAATGCGTGTAATCCAGTCTCTCAAGGAGTTTGAAGAGCAAGAGATCAGGCTTGCAAATAAGTAATAAAATAAAAAAATTGGTTCAACTTTTCGTCATTAAAAGGGGTTTTGGGGTTTTGGGGTTTTGGGGTTTTGGGGTTTTGGGG